ATTGTTAAAAAAAATTTAGGGTTATGTGTTCTAGTTTTGTGAAAAATGCTATTGGCATTTTGACAGGGATTGCATTAGATCTGTGGATTGCTTTGGGTAGTATGGACGTTTTAACAATGCTAATTCTTCCTATCCATGCGCACAGTTACGTGCTTCCATTTATTTGCATCTTCTTCGATTTCTTCAGTGTCTTATAATTTTCCAAGTACAAGTCTTTTACCTCCATGGTTAAATTTATTCCTAGGTATATTTTTCAATGCAATTATAAATGGGATTGTTCTCTTAATTTCTTTTTTGTTTTATAGTTCATTATTGGTGCGTAAAAATGCAACTGATTTCTGAGTTTTAATTTTGGATCCTACTACTTTACTGAATTCACTTATCAGTTCTAATGGATTTTTGGTGGATTTTTTAGGGTTCTCTATATAATGTCATCTGCAAATAGTGAGTTTTACTTCCTTTGCAATTTGAGTGCCTTTTATTTCTTTTTCTTGGCTAGGACTTCCTGTAATTTCTCTTTTTATAATTCATTATTTCTTACAAAGTAAGCCCCCCAAAATAAGTTTAAAAAAAAGACTGAAATAGGAAGCCATTATATGTTGGATAATAGAAAAACGCTTAAAAAATTTAAAATTTAAAAGCTAATCAGCATGTATCAGTGATAGTGCATAGGCAGCGTAGTTAACCTTAAAGGATGTGTTTATGATAGATTTCTTAGATGAAAGTCACCCATATCTGTGTCCGCTTGTTCTTAGGGTAAACAGCCGTTGTTCAATCAAAAAAGTATTTAGTGGGGGAAAAAAAGTATTTCGTGTAATCAAAAGTTAAGATGTTCATACATTTAGCAAGAGGGCAAAATCAAACTTTAAAGTAATAAGCTTTTCTAATTCATTAAAACAGAATACTTGTTTAAAAAATTGTAGTCTAGGGTTTTAGCTTTCTACTCACTTGGGAAACTTCTGCAGTTTTTCCATTTTTATCTTTTAAAAAATTGTGCAATATACATTTGTGAAATTTATGTTGTAACTGTAGAAATTGTATTGATATTTGTAGGCCTACCAGAATAGGATAGGCTACAGTTACTTAATAAATGTTTCCTTTATTTTTAGGTGGTTTTAGAGGTGGAAGAGGAGGAGGTAGAGGTGGAGGCTTCAGAGGAGGAAGAGGAGGGGGTGGTTTCAGAGGTAAGTATGAAAAAACACACCTTTAAATGACTGAAATTCTAGAATTGGTATTATCTGCCATTTTATTTATTTATTTTTAAATATTTTTTATTGACTTTTTAGAGGGAGGAAGGGAGAGAGATAGAGAGTTAGAAACATTGATAAGAGAGAAACATCGATCAGCTGCCTCCTGCACACTCCCTACTGGAGATGTGCCCGCAACCAAGGTACATGCCCTTGACCGGAATCAAACCTGGGACCTTTCAGTCCACAGGCCAACACTCTATCCACTGAGCCAAACCGGTTAGGGCATATCTGCCATTTTAAAATTGTTATTTAATTTTATTTTTGTTTGCCAGCAAGCCTGTAGAACATCGTGGTGTTCTTTGTTTTAGCCTAATTTCTAGCTTCATTTTATATCGCTCTTCCCTGCTTTTCCCTTTGAGTTTTATCACCTACTTCCAGTTTATTTTACTGTATTTTTAATTAGAGAAAAAGGTGTAATATGAATGACAGTTAAATTTAGTAAAGTAGGTTTTGCTAAACATTACAAGAACTAATGCTGATTTTAAACTTAAGATTTGGGTAATAGTATTATTAATTTCCATACCTTTAATACTTTCATTTTCTCTTAATCAGGTAGAGGACATTAAGTGTAACAGTTGACAGAGGAACTTCACCAACTGATTTCTGTGTTAACCTGCGTGGTCTACTTCTGTGGATCAGAAATTTGTTTCTTGAGCAAGTCTTGAAGAACCGGTTACTACATGACATGGCACTCAGATGTCAATGTCACACAAACAGAGTGCAACAGAATAGGCACTTATGGAGTTTGGACAAGTGTTTTAATGTTTTATATAATGCTCGGAACTGTGATTGCTTAATAAATGGACAGTTTTCACATGAAGCATATTTGAATTTTTACAATAAAATGTTTTATTTCTTTAAGTTACTTAGAGCTGTGTTTATTAAACCAGAGCTATTTTTGAATTAAAATGAACAACTAAAGCTTAAGTCCAGTGGTTTTCATGTAGAGAGAATGATCTGTTTACATATATAACTCATCTTTAAAAACATAATGCTACTGAAGGAATACTTTAACAATTAACATTATTTATAAACCAACACCCCTTTCCAAATGTTTGCCTTTTATATATGAGGACATTAGCACCCTTTATTGTATTTTCCTTTTGTGTGTTAGTAAAGCAGTTTCTTTAATTGTAATGTTTAATTGCTTACAAAATTTTACTATTGATTACGACCCTATTAAAGTTGGGACAGCTCTGTTCAAAGAGAACTAAAGTTCAAGAAATTTCTGAAGAAATATTTAATTTTTCAACATTTAATATAGATTGAATGTTGAAAGTTTTACTGATTGTTCTTATTTTACATTTTTAAAGGGCATCCAAAGGTTTAAGATGTTATTCACCATAAGCAAATATTTGATTTCCTGCTACATGTTCAGATTCCTGGGTAGAGATAGTACAAATGAAATTGGTGTGGATCCCTGTTGCTGTTGTAGTATCATGCAGTAGCCATGATAGCAAGTGAGAGTACTGTGATATGGGACCATTTGCTCTGCATTGATTTTTCCCCTTTGTGTGTTTTTTTTTTAGGAATGATATTGCCATACCTTTTCCTAAATTTTTCCAACCGAATGCTCATTTGAGTAGCATATAGTATTGCCTGTGTCAGTATCGTGGGTTTTACTACCCTTTTGATGGAATTGTGGCAGGATTAGTAAATATGTAGGCCATAAATATATATGATGAACAAATATGTTGAAAATTACTGTTTGCCAGTAAGCAGTTGTGCTTTTAAAACATGGAGATTTCTTTCACCTTTTACTTGAGTAAATCTTTTGGTCATTGGCCATCTTGAATCTTATTTTCATATTTTATTTTTCCTGTTTTTTCCTTAATGTAGTTCATTCTGGGTTTCCATTGGGGCATTTAGTTTTGAGTCAATTTCACATATTTAGGGAGCCTAACACGAATGAATATAGTACTGAGGTATCACTGAGTTCCACTGTGAAAGGTATTTTCATGCTTATTCAAACATGTTAAATCTTTTGAGTTCACTGAATAACATTCTGATTGCCTGCATCATATTAAAATGCATTTGTTGCCATAGTAATTAAGCAGTTTAATGGAATATAAGCAATACTTGCCCATTTTCCTGAAAATTTGGGAAGAGTTAGGAAAAGCAGATTGATTTTAGGCAACTGAAGTTTATGAAATTAAAATTGTGAACTATGTGAACATTTTGATAATTATATTTCTTAGTATTTTAAGCCTCATCCCAATATAGGTTTTCTGTATCACTCATGAAGGAAGCATAAAAAAGTACTTTGAATACATTTAGCTATAGCAGGTAGCTGGTCATCTTTAGAATTATTATTTAGTTTTTATAAAAAATTATTTCTGGGGAATTTAAGTGGCTGCTAGAGCTAGATATAGTCAATCACAGGAAGGGAAGGGAAGGGACTATGAACCAAAACATACTCAACTTTTTAAAATTCTGCATACTGAATGAAAAAAAAACACACCCAACAAGGGTTTTAAAAAGGAGAATTTCACTTAGGTATTCTGTTCATTGCCTTGGGGTTATTTAAAAGTATTTTGTTACTGCCGAAACCGGTTTGGCTAAGTGGATTGAGCGTCAGCCTGCGGACTGAAAGGTCCCAGGTTCGGTTCCGGAAGGTCAAGGTCATGTACCTGGGTTGCGGGCACATCCCCGGTGGGGGATGTGCAGGAGGCGGCTGATCGATGTTTCTCTCTCATTGATGTTTCTAACTATCTCCCTTCCTCTCTGTAAAAAATAAAATATATTTTTAAAAAAAGTATTTTGTTACTGAAATACTGTTGAAATTCACTTCACTGGCATTGATACTCTGTAGTATTTACATTTATTAAAATTTTTGAGTTCTGATAGCTATAAGATCTGAGATAAGTCACCCAGGCTGGTTCAATTGCTTCAGTTTATATACAGCTGCGAGAATTGAGGCAAAACAATTATCTTAGGTCCCTTGCTGTGCCATTCTAAGATTATATAGTTAAATTAAATGGGGAAATAAAGCCCTCTAGTGGTTCTGTCATGCTTACACTGTTCAGTGCATGTAGCATTTCTAGAGTTTGATTTTAAATTCATTGTTGAGAAGAATCCAATAATATTACATGACAAAAATATGGGGGAAAAGGTGTTAGGGTTATCTTAGTCTACCAATAAATGTATGTTAGATTGTAATCCACTTATGCAACCTATTTTTTGAGTTACAACAAGGTGGTTCAGAATATTAGAATTGCCAGGTACAAGATGAATGAATCCAGGTTCTTGGCTGATATGTGCTGTGGTTATGATCAGATAATTACTTGTACATATTAAAGTATAGGGTAAATTAACTGAGGTGGATTGTGCAGTAGATCATGCGATACCTATCCATGCTATGAAATATATAGCTATTAATAAATTAGATTTATAGACCTGAAATTTATGATATGGCTTTAGGGGAAAACAAGTTGCAGAATTATTTTATATAAATATAGCTCCCTATTTTTGCTTTTAAGAAAGTGGGAGACACCTCAAACCCTTTTATAAATACATTTGTATAAGCATAGGAAAGCAAAAAGGGTATAAACCAAACAATGCTACCTTTACGGGTGTGACATTTGGAAGGATGTGGAAGATTACTTCTTTGTCTCTATGAAATTGTTATGGAAAAAAACCAAAAGTATCTGAAGTGGAAATACTTTAAAGGATCAACTGAAAACAGGGACTTTAATCTCAATGGTTTTAGGACTAAGCCTCGCTCTTAATTTCAGAACTGATTTCCAGCAGAGAACAGTTAAGTCAGCTCCTGCACTGATTTTCTGAGTTTGTTTATTGTTTAAATGGGATGTTTGATAATCTCTAGACATAAGGCTGATGCCCAAATTGGTTCAAATGTTTGGCCTGGTATTTCTCTTTATTTTCTTAATAAGGGTTTCCCTTGCCCTGGGGATTAAAATCCTTTTCTCTTTAGCCCAATCACATTTGTTAAGGGAGGGCCTCTATGAAAAGGCTATTCTTTGAGACCTTGAAGTGGAAATGATTAGTTTTGAAAATTCCTCCCTCAGTGGCATTTACAGCATTTTATAATTATTGAAGGCTGTCTCATATCTTCCCTCCAGAATGCTAAAGAATAATTTAAGCAACAGTTCAGACTTTAAAAATGAAGATGGCTCTGTCTTTTCACAGACTGAACACAACATTGTTGCAACTTACTTGATTATGGCAGGTATGGATGTTTAATTACTCCCTTAATAGTACTTTTACTTTCAAGTGGGTGAAGAAAAGCAGAGGATTTCAGCATAAGGCAGTAGAAAAAGTATAGGTTTAGAGATGATTCAAGTTTCATATGGTTGGCCAACCTCCTGAATTCACTTTTGCTTTCTGAGTTGGGGTGGTCAAGTAAATGAAGGTGATGATTGTTGCACTGTTTCCTGGCTGTAAAGGTCCAATAACAGAATGTCAGTGAGAGGATAAGTGAAAGCATTGCTAATGGTGGTTAGTATCATAAGTTACTTTGGATATTTATTTATTTATTGGTTGATTTTAGACGTAAAAAAGGGGAGAGAGAAACATAGAGTTGTTGTACTTATTTATGCATTTAAAGGTTGATTCTGTGTGCCCTGACTAGGGATCAAACCCACAATCTTGACATATTGGGTTGATACTCTAACCAACTGAGCTACCTTGCTAGGGCAACTTTGAATCTTGAAATACCATGTGAGGGAAGTGGCATGGGGCTGAGAAAAGTTTTCTATAAAATTAATAATTCTTTTATCCATACATTTGATTATTATGTTCTCAGGTACGATAAGTATTCTCAGCAACATAATAGTTCTGAGCATCTTCATTACGTACAAGGAACTCCGAACACCCACAAATGCAATTATCATGAACCTGGCTGTTACTGACATAGGGGTCAGTAGCATTGGTTATCCCATGTCTGCTGCTTCAGATCTGCATGGAAGTTGGAAATTTGGGTATGCAGGATGCCAGGTATTGGAGATCTTCGGAATTAAAGTTAAATAAAGTAGATTAAAGGTATATAAGTTTAAATGTCTAAAAAAGTCCCATGGGCTTTAATCAAATAAGATCATAATAGATAATAGATATAGTGCTCTTTTTGAGAACAGTTTCACAAGTACTGGAAAACATATTCTTTAACCAGAGAAAAGAAATCACTAGCCATAATTATCTTTAAAATTTTTTTCAACCTAAAAGAAAAAACCAAACAAAAAATTAACATTCAACTAGAGAAGAATAGTGAAAACTTGCATATTCAAATGCAAGTTCAAAAAGAAATACCCTGCTTTCATTTGAAATAAATATTAAAGATATATCTAAGTAATGTAGTTAAGTTATCACATTGATAGGTAAATTAATATTACAAGAAAGTAAATTAATATTAATTTGTGTTAAGATAGTAGGCAAATAAGACTTTTTGCCTGATTTGTTAAGTTTACCATTTTAAGTTATAAAATCATAAAGAGCAAAATAAGTCTAACAATAATAAATATCCATGTATACATGAAACAGTTTTGTCAAGTCTTAATGTTTTCCTTTTTAACAAAAATCTTTATTGTTGACACTATTACATTTGTCATCTCCTCCCCTCCCCCCCAATGTTTTTCAATATGTACTTAAGATTGTTTTTCTTTTTAAAGATAAAAAACTTTACAGATGTAGTTGAAGGTCATTGCAAACCATCCCAATGGTTTATTCCATTCTCTCCCATGAAAGTTTTCTTAATCTTACTACATATTTATGTGTACCTAAACTAAATACTTAATGCTTTACATTTTGTATCAACATATTGTTTGCATTATGCAAATTTCATTATTCAATATTTTTAAGTTTTAGCCATTTTATAAACACATGACAACATATTTATTTTTCTATTATTGAACATTTATTCCCAATGCTTTTCTGTCATAAAAAAAGGCTTCAGTGAATGTTCTTACTCATGTGTCTTTAGATACATTGCTTAAGAGAGGTTGGTTGGGTTGTAGAGAATGTTCATCTTCAACTTTATCAGATGCAGCCAAATTGCTCTCCAAAATGGTTGTGTCACTTACAAGAACTTCTGTTATTCCACATTTTCCCCAACACTTGGGATTGTCAAACTTTTACATTTTTACCATTTTGATGGGGGTAAAATGGTGGCCGTAGTTTTCACTTCTTTGAATACATAATGTGGTATACATTTTTTTATGTCACAAACATTCAGTTTCCTCTTTCATGAATAGCCTATTTTTTTGTTTTTAGAGTTTTTTCCCCTGTTTATTGAGTATCCTGGTTAGAAGCTTTACTTTAAGTCTTAAAATTTTATTTTGATTAATGAAGTCTCAAAACAATTTCCATTAAACCAGTTACACTTTGACAATGGAAGATATATTTTAAAATTAGTATAATACTAGAACGTTTAATGTATTTATATTCTAGCACTGGGATAAAAATGTAACTGTCTCTTGGGAGGTGTAGAACAGTGGGTTCTTTACAATTTTGATTTTCAGATTTATGCTGGATTGAATATCTTCTTTGGAATGGCAAGTATTGGATTACTCACAGTTGTGGCCATGGATCGATACCTGACCATTTGCCATCCTGATGCGGGTACAGCATTTTTCTCAATGAATTCCTATCTTGCCTAAGTACCACTTGACACACATTCACTTTAGAATGTAAATGGGTTGCAGTCATGATCAGTTTTATTTCTCTAACAATCGTTCAAAAGTTTAAATGATTTCCCATTATACTTAGAATAACATCCAAATATCACAACTGCCTCCAAGGCCCTGCTACCCTTCTAGCTTTGGCTTGGGCCCTCTCATTTTGGGGTCCTGGCCACTCCCTTTCCCACTCTGGGGTCTTTGCAGATGCTGCTTCCTCAGGTCTGGAAAACGCTTCTCTCTGAATATCCTTCCAATGATCCTTTTATCTGTTGGATAGGCTTTGAGTGAGCTGAAGTGTTCTATAAACAATCTACTTGAGAACAACTTTGAATAATCAGTTAAAACAAAGTGGAGATATGAATTTCATTATGGGAAAATGAGGCTAATATTTCATATGTTTGTTCATAGGAAGAAGAATGACCACCCACACTTACATCAGCATGATTCTGGGGGCCTGGATCAATGGCCTCTTTTGGGCTTTGATGCCTATCATAGGGTGGGCTAGTTATGCCCCAGACCCTACTGGGGCCACCTGTACCATAAATTGGCGGAAAAATGATGTGTAAGAGACACTTTCACACTTTATAATGAAGTGCTTCTAATGTAGACATTTTCTCACCCTTTTTTAAGCTCAGATCAAGTGTTTTCCATACAGAGTGGCCGACGGGCTTCCTTGTTGGTGGTGATGTGATTCCAATTTTTGAATTACGCTTGTTTGCAAGTAAATGCCATCCAGCTCCGCTTGTCCCTTCCTCCGCGCCCCACTCCTACTCTGTCCTTTCTTCTCTCTTTGGTGGAAAAGGGGATACAGAACACCCTTCTGATATTTGCACATTGGAGGGAGAACCTGGGAGGGATAAGGGAGTGTAAATATCACTAGACAGCATGTAGCTCGGGCTTTCACTGAGGTTGGCTCCTTCCTATCTTTTCAAACTGATGTGGTGATAAAGTATCTTCAGAGATTCAGGCAGCAAAAGCACCATCACTGCAAGGATTTGCTTGCTACTTGGTGATGCTCTTCTCTATTTACTAGGGAAAAGAGGATAATTTAGCTTCTTTTTTTTTTTTAAATATATTTTATTGAGATTTTACAGAACACTCCCCACTGGGGATGTGCCCGCAACCAAGGTACATGCCCTTGACCGGAACCGAACCTGGGACCTTTCAGTCCGCAGGCTGACGCTCTATCCACTGAGCCAAACCGGTTTCGGCGATAATTTAGCTTCTTAAACAAAGTGAAAGATCACTCAGAAAAACAAATAGAAAATTTCTAACTCTCAAATTAAATCTAACTCTACATCTCTTTCTGTACAGGGTTGACAAGTGAATATTTTGAGCTTTAGGGTGATATTGTCTCTGTTACAACCATCCCACTCTGCCTGTGAAGCAGTCAGAGACAGTATCTAAATGAATGTGGCCCCAACCCCTAGTCTAAATGGGCTAAAAGTCAAGTATACATTCTAAGCCATATAATGATATAGTGACTGCTGGATGGTGCCAGTATTATCTATATGTATAAAAGCCTAAGTGACCATTATGACATGTCAACTGGTCACTATGATGCGCACTGACCACCAGGGGGCAAACGCTCAATGCAGGAGCTGTTTGTCAGTGTGCTCCCACAGCCAATGTACCACAACCAGCCAACCTCCCGAGGTCCCTACCCCAGCCAGCTGACCTCGATCGACCCCGATCAGGACTGGCCTAGATGGCCCCGATCGGCCCTGATCGGCCCCAATCGCTGGCCAGGCTGAGGGACCACACCCATGCATGAATTCATGCACTAGGCCTCTAGTTTCAAATTATGCTGTTTCCCTTTCCCAATTAAATAAGTAGTGATTTAGATTCCCTTTTCTTATTTTCAGATCTTTTGTATCTTTCACGATGACAGTTATTGTGATAAATTTTATTGTGCCATTGACTGTGATGTTTTACTGCTATTACCATGTCACTCGATCCATTAAATGTCATGCTACCAGTACCTGCACTGAGTACCTCAACAGAGATTGGGCAGATCAGGTAGATGTAACAAAGGTAAGACATTAAAATCCTTAAGATATTTTTGCAATCAAGCTTTTATACATATGTGGTCCCCTGGCCCCTGCAGTTACCTCTCCTCACCCCCATGATTCTTACTCTGGCTCTTTTGTCTGGTGTTTGCCTCCACAGTGTTGAACAATGTGCTCATCTGTTGTTTTGGATATTTTTGTTTACCATTACCTCTTGATTTCCTACTATCGACAATTACAATTTATTTCTCTTACACCACCAATCTTTTCTATTCCCCCCACCCACTTTTCTCTCTCCTCATCTTCTTTGGTTAGATGAAGAGTCCATTTACATTATTGTGATTCTCTACATTTTATTTTTTGCAGATCTCTGTAGGAATCAATGATTTGTATTTCATTTGAAAACAATATTTATTATTCACTTATAGTTGATGTACAACATTGTATTAGTTTCAGGTGTCCAACCCAGAGATTAAACATTTATATAACTTATGATTCATTTTTTTATAAAACATTTTTCTTGCCCTGGCCAGTTGGTTGGGTATTGTCCTATGCACTGAAAAGGTTGCTGGTTCGATTCTCGGTTAGGTAACAGGTTTCAGGCTTGATCCCCAGTAGGGGGCAAGCAGGAGGCAGCCGATTAATGTTTCCTTCTCACATAGATGTTTCTCTGCTTCTCTCTCTCTCTCTCTCTCTCTCTCTCTCTCTCTCTCTCTCTCTTCCTTTCCTTTGCTCCTCTCTAAAAATCAATAAAAAATTCTTAAACACACACACACACAAACTTTTTCCCCGTGGAGTTAATAATTTTTTTTTCTTTCTTTCTCTTTCTCCCTCCTTCAACTCTCTCCCTTTCTTGTCCTCTCCTTCCCTCCCCCTCTCTTTGCAGTTTTGTTTGCTTCCTGTTCTGCGTACCTGTCACTAATTCATCTCTAATCTCTCCACCAGCAGCGTCAATTTACTCTCAGTATATTTAAGTGCATCAGGGACTTTCTCCTTCTCTTGGAATTTTGCTTCCTGGCACTTCTGGGCCTCTTGCTCTGCTCTGCATGGGCAGTTCTCTAAAACCACAGCCCTGAAAGCTGGCACCTCGGGTCTCCTTCATCACCAGCTGGGAGTGCCTTTGGATCGCCTGTGTTTGGGTTGCCTGTCTTCCTTTTCCTTGGTTACCCCCTCTCATTTGGTGGAGCACATTCCCAAGAAGATTCCTGAGAAGGTTATCAGGAGGTAAATTTCAAAGGATTTTGCCTGCCTGAAAATGTCTTAAAATTCTACTATCATATTGGACTGATTGATGGTATACAAGTTTAAGTCGAGAAATGTTTTTCAAAGAATTTTGAAGGTATGCTGTGTAGTCTCCTAACTTCTGTGTTGCTATTGAGAAGGCTGACAGCATTCTGCTGACTGAGCCCTTGTAGCAATCTGTGTGTGATCTCTGGAAGCTGTAGGAGCATCTATGTCTCCGGTTTTCTGGAACTTCATGCTGATGTGCTTGGAGTGGCTCTTTTTTCAGCCATGTGCTGGTGCTTGGTAAGCGTGTGGCAAGTGAAGAACCAGGTCCTGCCTTTCGGGGGTTCTTGTATCATTTCTCTGGTGATCTCCCACCTGCTTTGCATTCTCTGTTCTCTTTTCCTGGAACTTCTTTTATTTGGATATTTAGTCTCCTGGGTTTATCTTCTAATTACTAAAACTTTCTCTCCTATGTTGTCCCTGTTTTGGGTTTATTTGTTTGCTTGTTTTGTTTGTTTGTTTTTGTTTCTACTTTCTGAGAGGTTTCCTCAATCTTGTCCAGGTCTGGGATTAGGTGAGGAGAGTGAGGCTCAAGCCTTGGGTGTAAAATTTAAGTAGGCCCCCAGAAACTCAGTAATAAGAAAAGTGGTTAATGCAGTACTAAAAATATCAGAGTTAATGCAAAGCTTAACTTTGCATTGAACATAATATCAAATTTTAAATAAAGATAGGATCTGACCCTGCACTTGCATGACTCAACTCATTGATCTTACCCTTTCTATTGTATTTAAACAATTCTGCTCTTTTTTATATATAGGTTAAAAACCATTGTTATAGATAAACAAGTTATTTTATATTTTACACTCTTTTTAATAGCCTCTTCTTGTTTTATATCTTCTCTCACTTCTGTGATGTTATTATGCATATATTTCCATTTTCCGTCTGTTCACATATTTTTTGTTTCTCCTGATTTTCTGAACCGTTTTGAACTCTGCCTGTGAGTTTGCGTGTTTCCTCAGTGTCTGGTGGCCAGTGATTGTCCTTGCGTGTTGAAAGTGATGCACTAGAAAGCTGACTGTAGACTCTGCATGGGCTCTTTTGTTGGGATGCTTCTTTGGGTGCTTTCTGACAATCTGATTCTCTAGGCGTTTTCTTCTGGGCTGGTCACTTTCCAGGGAGAAGATTCTTTTACGTTCCTAGGTGGAACATACAGGTCTGTCTACCTGTATGCTATGGCTCAGAGCATGAAGGGGACAGCATGCAGCACCCCTCTTTTCAGTACAGCACTCCGGCTCTCAGCTGAGCCCAGTGTCCTCAGTCCTGAGTTCCCCTGCTTTCCCCCTCCTACACTTCCGGGTGCTTTTGGGAGAGGACAGGCCTGAGTGCAGAGGGAATTCGAAAGTCTAGGTGCTTCTTTTTGCATATTTCAGTGAGCTGTTTTAAATTCCATGGGCAGCCCCACCTTCATAGCTAGCTGTCACCACCAGTTCCTGAGACTTTCTGAGTTCTGAACAATGTATTAGTTAGTCTATACTGGTATATGCCAGGAGTCCATAGCACAGTTACTAGAAATGGGTTAGGAGTGGGTACAGATCTGCTTTTCATTAAAGCCAGCTTTTGTATTCTCCCCTAGCACACTAAAAGAAAGGAGGCCTTCTTTACATTTGTTCACATTGTATCCTCAGAAGCTCTTGCTATCATAGGTGACTTCTTTATTTGCATATGAGCAAAGAGCAGTGTGGAGCGGTGGGTGGGTGGGGGGATTCAGTTTTTCCTTTATGTCATCAATGTCAAACTTATTCAAATTCTAATCTAGATAATTTTATGCTATTTTAGATATATTAGCTAATTAGATATTGGGTTTGGCAAATGCTGATTTCTTTTACAGATGTCTGTGATAATGATATTCATGTTCTTGGTGGCATGGTCCCCTTATTCGATTGTGTGCTTATGGGCTGCTTTTGGGGACCCAAAGAAGATTCCCCCCTCCATGGCTATCATTGCTCCACTGTTTGCAAAGTCTTCTACATTCTACAACCCCTGTATTTATGTGGTTGCCAACAAAAAGTAAGTAATGTCTAAAATGCTTCTGAACAAAATAATAGATACAGAAAGGATGTTAAAAAGGCAGTAGATAATATTGTAAGACTTCTGGGGAGGTGAGTGACAGAAACTCACTTTGAACTAGTATAAAAGTTATTTGACTCATGCAACTGGAAACTTCAAATGCCCAGAGCTCCAGTTCTGCGACAGGTTCTTCCCACATGGAGGCAAGATGGTCACAAGCAACCCAAAACCCAAGTTCTACCAGCTAAGCAGCTCCAAATTCGAGTTTCATCTCACATGCTCCTTGGCAGAAAAGCTGCTGGAAGGTAGGCTCAGCGAGTTCTCGTGGTTATCCCTCCCCAAATACGTGCAATTGGTATTTCAAAGAAAAGAGTGATTCTGTTACTAGAACATGGACAAGGTAAGGCAATGTTGGGCTCCCTAAGTGGTATGTCTTCTTTCTAGTAGATGTACTAGATGCAAATGCAAGATGAAAATCCAGTGCTAACATGAAGGGCTTCTGGAGAGTACAGTCATTCAGGATAACAGAGGAAGAACCCTACTCCCTTTGTTAGGGTTCTCAGTAAGGATTTCTTTCCTGCGTCCTCCCTGAAGCTTTGGTTATTTTGTTTTCTGTTGCTGCTAAAAGATGGAATGAACCAATCTACTGTGCTTAAATATTTGACCAGAAAAATCTTAGTAGAGTTCAAGTAATTTGATGCTGGAACGCCAATGCTGCTTCTATTAAACCTACGTATTTATGCTCATGTTTAGGAGAGCAGCTTTAGTTACAGGTATGTGAAGAAATGGGAAAACTTTTAAGACCATTCAGACCATATAAGAAGAATAAAGAACACATTTTAAATACAGAACTTATTGGTAGTTCTTTTGGAAAGATCGGTCATTCTCAAACTCCCTTTAATTTCAACTGACCTTGCTTAGAACAGATGCATGAAATGCATATCCTTAGTTCAAATAGATACATTATTGTAACTGATATTAGAAACATCATTTAAACACATAATTATTGATTTTTACTAAATACCTTCAATGTTTATAATCAATGTCACAAAATTGGTCTTTAACCATCCATATACTTTCTACATCTATAAAGGTTTGCAACAGGAGATGTTAAAGTTGGAGATGTCAATTGGCAGTAGTGGCATCTTAGCCATATTTGAAAGTATTTTAAAACTAGAGATCCGGTGCACGAAATCCAGCCTGCACCCCCTTGCAGTCCAGGAGCCCTTGGGTGATGTCTGACTGATGGCTTAGGCCCGCTCCCTCTGGAGAGCAGCCCTAAGCCGTCAGTTGGACATCCTTAGCGCTGCTGTGGAGGCGGGAGAGGTTCCCGCTACTGCCACTGCACTTACCGTATTTGCCGGCGTATAAGACGACTGGGCGTATAAGACGACCCCCTAACATTTCCACTCAAAATACAGAGTTTGTTATATACTCGCCGTATAAGACTACCCCCTCTTCCGCACACCTTCCACACACCAAATAAAAGGTAAAACAATATCAGATTTGATTTTAACATTTTAATTTATATTCAAATGCTTATGACATGCAGGAAAACTGTCACAAGGCTGTATGTAATCAAACATATACATAAAACAGTGCAAGTTTATTACCGGTAAACATACCGGTAATTCACTAAAGAAAACACACTCTATAGACTGGTACCGTAGATGCTTCTCAGGAACACAGGCAAGCAGCCCACAACCTAGAGGGACTGTCAATGATAGAAGAAAGATAACAAATAGAGGGAGAGAGCAAGTGCCGGGCAAGTCCCTAGCAAGTTTGCTGGCGTGACAGTTTCACCTTAAAAGCCTTCAAACTCCTCTTCAT